AAAGTTTTTATTTATGCTTCTGATGTTTAAATGTAATAATGAAAAATGGGATGATAAAGAATTAAGAACATGATTAACATCGTCAACATTGTAATAAGCCGTTTCTACTAAAATTTCGTCAAAAATGTTAATATTTTTATCATCGTCATTACTTCGGTTTAGTGTGTTTTTCCTTCCTGATATGTCAAAAACATTATTATTGCTGGCTTCCGCCATTTTAGCAATAATAAATAAAAATACTATTTAAATTACAAAAAATATATACAAAAAATAAATAAACTTTAAGCATTTTTATGAGATTTTTTAAAATCTTTAACTACTAATTTATCATAAATAACGACAGAATATTTACCGTTATTCCTGTGAGCTCGCATTTCTTCAAAGAGTTTTTTACGTATGGTTAGGGTATCCAAAGAGTAGTCTTCATTTATAAATATTCCTGTTCCTTTTAACTTTTTTGAATTCTTTAATATGTTAATTTTATCTTTATAGTTCAGGAGTTTTATCACGACTGATCTAGGTTTACTCTGCCCGATTTTTCCGGTTCTATGCGCCCTTTCGATAACTACGCCACTTACATTTAGTTGTTTTTCAAAGATACTTAAAACTTTTTCTTCAGATTCATTCCAACTTTCAGATTCGCTTTCAGTTATTCCTTCAAGCCGCAGATTGTTTCTTCTTAGTCGATCTTCCAGTTGACGCAGCTTATTTTTTTTTTTTCGATCTTATATGCGCATTTATTCATTTTATATGCGCATTTATTCATTTTTATATGCGCCTTTATTCATTCTTATATGCGCATTTATTCATTCTTATATGCGCCTTAATTCATTTTTATATGCGCCTTTATTCATTCTTATATGCGTATTTATTCATTTTTATATGCGCCTTTCTTCATTCTTATATGCGCATTTATTCATTCTTATATGCGCCTTAATTCATTCTTATATGCGCCTTTATTCATTCTTATATATGTGTTTATTCGTTCTTATATGCGCATTTATTCATTTTAATATGCGTGAATCCAGTGTTTATAACTGTTTTTTTAAAACAAATTGCTTAAATGATTTTTTTTGTTCAAATTGCTTTTTTACAATTGCTTTTGTAAAACGCATATAAGAATGAATAAAGGCGCATATAAAAATGAATAAATGCGCATATAAGAATGAATAAATGCGCATATAAGAATGAATTAAGGCGCATATAAGAATGAATAAATGCGCATATAAAAATGAATAAAGGCGCATATAAAAATGAATAAATGCGCATATAAGAATGAATAAAGACGCAATCGACGCGCATATAAGAATGAATAACCCTGTAAGTTGTTACAACATAATTACCCCAGACGATTTGACAAAAAACTTTTAATCTCAATTAATGCAATCATTTTTATTAAAAATGATATCACAGAAAAAACTACAATAAAAGATTTATATTCTAAGAGCCAAACTATACACATAGTGATAAGTAAACTAAACTCTTTCAAAAAACGTTGAAATTAATTTGAACACAATTTAAAAAACCAAATTTTCAGTAAAGGCTGCGTGCAACAAAAACAAGAACAAAAAAACCAGGCTGCGTAATTAAAAAAATAGAATTTGGAAAATATTCGATTTAACATCTTTTTACTTTAACAATCCGCTATCTTTCGGTACTCGTATTACACTTACAATATGTTTTACTATTTCTTGCGCAGTTAATAAAATAAGCATAACTCAGTATTGATATACTGTTTTGATAATACTGTATCCTCTTGGAAGACTAATTATTTTATTCAAATTATAAAGTATTAACTAAAGTAAAATAGTAAACTAAACATTGATCAATTTTAAAACAGCGACAAAAACATTCCCTCAAATACAAGGACCTTTTACCTGGTGAAGATACAGACAACAGTTAAAAATCACAGAGAGTGTTATTAATCATTTACAGAAATCATGAAATGTTTTATCTCTGAATCTCAAAGTTCTAATTTGCAGCCTTTAAAAAATAACGTAAGTCTGGCGTCAACGGGCTACTAGACTGTTGGCAAACACACTGCTCATGAATTAGAAATGCGATTTTTCAGATGTAAACACAGCAATAATGCTATTGAAAACAATACCTGCAGCAGTTTCTAGTGCAGAAAGATGCTTCAGCAAATCAAAGTTAATCAAAACATATTTAAAAAATAAGATGTCTTAGGAAGGTCTTAGAGATTGGGCAGTTTTGGCAATAGAAAACAAAAATGTGCAAATAAAAAAATTAGATATAAAAAATGGGATAATTCTCAAATAAGAAGACAAGAAAAATTCATATTTAAGGTAATTAAATAAAAAATATTTTTAAGGATATTCTTTAATTTTATTTTCTGTTCTTAATAGTCTTTTAAGAATTACTACTTCTGGAGATAGTATAGCAGTTATGAATTTAAAAATGGTAAAGGTAAATAGCTAAAGTTTAAAAGGTAAGGTTAGTTTTTGATATTAACATTCTAGCATCTTTTTCTAATTTATAAAACAAATATTATTAATATACTTAATTGTGTTTTATTAACTGGATTTAAAAAGAAAATATTGCATATTTTATTTTTTAATATAATTAAAAAAAAAAATTTGAAGGGGGAGAGCCCCGTCACTTTTTTGCGAAGGAGTAGATATCTCAAATTATTTTGTATCAACACTGTTGATACAAAAAATTGTGGATTTGTTTGCGTTTGGTAAAAATAGAGAAGAACTCAGGGAATAAGCAGATAAAGTTTGATAAAATAAATTTTATAGGAACTTATGCAAAAAGATTATTCTCACGATATCATTTAAACATGCAAAAACCTCAGGAAATATATTAAGAAGATAAACTAAAAGTAATTTTAAGATTTTAATTAGAATTAAAACTCTTAAAAATCAAATAATTAAAAAAATAAATTATGCGAACAAAATTTTTTTAAGACTTTGCTTTGTCAAACACCTAATCTTATTATTTGACAAAGAATATATCCCAATGATTCATCTAATCCTTATTTAAAATTTTGTCAACTGTTAAGTAATGTAATGTAAACTGCTTTAGTTTTATCGTTTATTTCAGTTAGACATTTGAGAAAAACCGTAAAAAATCCAGGTACAAAGTACCTGGCTTTTCCTTTGTGGTAATGGTGTTACCCTCTTCTGACAGTGACCTAAATGACGGAAGAACATGTTTACAGAATTGCTGCTAATTAGCAAGTCTTTAGAATTTTAATTCTGTTTTAAGATTTAGTTAAATCTTTATACCTGGCTTTCTATATAACGAAGGATTCATGGTTGATTTTCAATATTATAGGCAATAGTTTTGAAACATATCTACAGATAAAACTTCACAGATCTTTTGGAAAAAGTTTCCTGGATATATTGAGTTTTAGAACTTTGTGTGACCTGACATGATCTGTTAATAATTCATCAAAAAAGGCACTTAAATAAAAAATACACAAAGATGCATATAGAAATTCCGCAACAGCTGTTTCACCGACTTGTGGTCTTTGATGGCTCGGCTAATATTGACAATCTGTTGCTTATATTGTTTCTACTTCTATCACTGGTCCACATCCTTAGACTTGTTCTTGGTTTCGAAACTTAGAAAATACATGTTTTGCAACAAAAAACAACAATTTCTAATAAAATAGTTGTTTTTTGTTGCATTAACAGTGTTCAAGTGTTGTTTTTCAAAAAAATTTTATAGTAATACATACCCAGAGTATTAATTTAAAAGTTAAAACAGTGAAAAATGGGTTGGACAATAGAAACTATATCTCCGGTACTTAAAATGTAATTTAAAATTTATCAAAAATAATAGTTTCAAGGCTTTCAAAGTTTTCACAGCTCTTTATAATTTTGGTGGTCAAAAAGAAAAAAACTTTGTGTTGCACAAAGAAAATAGTGCAACTTTTTTTTGCACGAGTCGATGTGATAATGTCAAAAGCAACTGATCATTAAAATTTAATATTAAAACAATATTTATGTATATATGTATGCATGTGTGTTTAAGAAATTTCTAGGTATATGCTCTAAGTATTTATTAAAAAATTCTTCGTGCAGATTACAAGCCAAAGATTTTCAAAACTTTTGGCCAGATAAGTAAATAAGCATAATTTATATCGATGTTAAACTTTAGCAATATATATACCACACAAAAATTTACTATACTATATTCTTTAAAATAAGTCTTCCAAATGATCTTAAAAAATATCAACAAAATCACGTCTAACTAATACTAATGAACCGACTAAATTTCAATTTTATATATATGTATATTAGGGTATCCCAAAAAACAACTTTTTTGAGAAAAACCTGCTCCCACCCCCTAAATGTGTTCTATCTAATACAAAAACACTAGGTTTAAAATTTTTTGAATAAAAAATATTTTAAGGGGTCCTTCAAGACCCTCGAATATTTAATAGGTCCCTTATATTTTCAAAAAAAAAGTTGTTCAAAAATATGTTAACCTGGTATTAAAATGAAGTGAAATTATATAAAAATTTCAAACATTTTATTCCTTTTGAAAAAATTTTAACTTATTTATTAAATTATCATAAAAAAACATAAAAATGCAATTTTTACATTTTTTTGTTAAAAAACGTAATTTTTTAAGTAATAAAACCTAAAATAATAACTTTTTTCAAAATGAATATTATTTTTGAAATTTTTGTATAATTTTGCTTCATTTGAGTACCAGGTTGATATACTTTTGAAAAACTTTTTTTTTGAAAATATTAGGGACCCATTAAATATTTGAGGGTCTTGAGGGACCCCTTAAAATATTTTTTATTCAAAAAAATTTTAGACCTAATGTTTTTGTATTAGATACAACACATTTAGGGGGTGGGAGCAGGTTTTTCATGGCCACCTTAATAAATAAATAAATAAATATATATATATATATATATATATATATATATATATATATATATATATATATATATATATATATATATATATATATATATATATATATATATATATTTATATATATTATATATTACCAGCTTTACTTTATTTTTATTAGGTTAACGCAATTATATTCTAAAATCTTTCTAGAAACTCAAAACTTTGATTAAAACATTACTTCTCTGCATAAAAGTAACAATTCATTCTAACTTCTCTGGTAACTATCTAAAATAAGTCAAATAAGTATAACTAAGTGAAATGTGATAATAATAAACTATCATTTAGAGATAGTGTTGCGCAGCGTAAGTAGATGTTGAAACAGCACATTCTAAATTATAAAAAAAATTATTAAATAACTTATATTCCAAGTGAAAATTTTAAAGTAAATTACAATATATAAAACCTGGCGTATCTTCCTGAAGCAATTGATAATTTCTTTCAGACCCCAAATTAATTGTCTGTTTATGTTGGAAATTTCGGTATAAAGATGGATCGTTCTGTGTTGTGTAATGAAATGTATTTCCAGAATGATTTTGACAAGACATCAAATCTATCGGAGAATGCTGAGCTTTAAAATAGATATAAAGATATAACAAGCACATAGTTACACAAATAAACTTAATGAATATACTTGCTTTTATTGTCTAAACTTTTTAAGTTAATTCCCACATTGAAATATCCAGAGACAAATGAAAAATTGAAACATTGAAATTTCCGGAGACAATTGAAAAAATAAGTTTAAGAACTTTTTTGTTTATACATAATTTAATACTCTAGAAACTTTATTAACAAATTAGTGAATAAAAAACTTACCTTGACTAAAAACGTAGTTGCAAGGCGAGGATATGGGTGAATAGCTTATCAAAGTATGAAAGGGGTTGGGGGAATGAGCCAGAGCTATTGAACCATTGTTTTGTTGAAAAGAAAGGTGATCGTCTTGCGTTGAAGATAGTCGCCCACAAAAAATCGGTCTGTTCTCAAGTTTTATTCGTTTATTAAATACAAGTGTGTTATTTTCATCTTGACGCTAAAATAATAACCTAAAATATTATTATTCAATACTTTTTCAAATGTAAAACTATTTAATATTATTATAAAATAGTTTGAAACTGTTTAAAATTATTATTAAAAAGTTTATAACTATTTAAACGGCCGTTCAATAATATGAGATTTTTTTTCCGTTTTTCTTTTTAGAATTGATTTTCCTCTATGCAAATACCCCTCCCCCCTCCTCTCCTTTCCTACTCCAGTTTGAGTCGTGACAATTATTGTTTTATAAATTTTACATTATTATCGAGTTTCAAATAATGAGAGAATCCCTGAAACACAAAACAAAAAATTTGTTATTTTGGAACGAAAAATTATCTCCGAGGGTACAGTTTTAAGCTAATTACATTGTGATAAGTATTTAAGTTCAAAAAAGGTTTTTCCTCCTTTTTTTCACTCCCGTTTGATATTTTTCCAATAACACTCCCTTCCCTCTACATTGCCACGTATTATTTACATGGCCCATAATATTATTATGATGAGGTTTGAAACTATTTAGTATCATTCTAAAGAAGCTTTACACAACTCAATATAATTATAAAAAAGTTGGAAAATATTTAATATCATTTTAAAGAACTATACATGAATTTTGAAATTTTTTTTAAAATTAAGAAATGCTGAAGCTTGAAACTATATATAACAAAAATGTGTAAAAAGCTTTCCTCAAATCACTCAAAAATTTTTATTCGTATTCAAGATATTAGGTTGTTAGCTTGACAAACTTATTTGTAATCTTTTAATTATATAGTACATGATGATGTCACTTTAAATAATTAGTTGTAACAAAATTGACTTCGTTACGATAAACAACCTCGTTTAAAAATCTGTTTTTAATTTATAAATTGTTTAGAAGTTAATAATAATAACTCATTGACAAATTTGTATAAAGTTTTCTTATTTATCTATACATTCACGTTCATAAACAAATATAGAAAGAGTATTATCAACTTATTTACTCTTTCTAAATTTCTTTACGAGCGCTTTTTGCATTTTTACTGCGAAATTGTGTTGAGAAGGTAAAATTTACCGGTAAATTTTTTCTTTAAAAAAATGCTTTTTAATGAGGGAAGTTCATTATTTTAGACATTCACACCAAAATATATGAAGCAGGCTTACACTTTTTGTTTTTATTGAAATATTGAGGGACGGGTTTTGAAAAAAGGTATTGAAGTGAAGGTTGAAAAAAAAAAAAGAATAAAAATGGCTGGAAAGTTGATTTGTAAAACTCCTAAGTATTCAAAGCGAAAAATCCTTGTCGATTAGGATGAAGTCATGGAAACAACTCAAGAAGTGCAAATCTCCTGAATGCTTTCCTAAATATTAAATTATTTTTTTTCCGAAACGAAAATTTGCTCTTTCAAATTTAAAATTTACCTGTTAATTTACCGGAAAGCTTTCAGGGGAAATTTTAACAAAATTTAAACAGAAAAAACTTCGTAGTTTCAAAAATATAGACAAGACCATATTCACGTGGTTTGAAACAAAAAGAAGTTAACAAATACTATTTTGTGACGTAGAATAATAGGGTTCTATCTGCCTTTTGTACTATTGGGAGAATTTAATAAAATTTGTTATCCTCTCTGAAATCTTTAAAATTAAAAATAATTTTTTTTTAAATTCTTTACATTCAAAAATCAAAATATCAAATCGGTAAAAATCGACAAAACAGCATATCGGTTGATGAGAACTTTAAGGTTCTATCTCCAAATTTTCATGGTGAAAAATTTAATTTTCTGTTTTTAGTTATAATATTATTTTTGTGGTCAAAACTATATAATTTTAATATATTAATCTTATTATTATTATTTATATAATTTAAAAAAATGTTAGTTTTTGTTTTGTCAATTTCGACCTTATTTAATAAAGTTAGAATTAACAAATAGTTTGTAAAGAAGCAATTTTAAAAATTATGAAATTAATAATGTAATTATTAATTTCATAATTTAATTATAATTTCATAGATTAATTATAAAACATAAATAACATAAAAAAACTTTTATTTTATCAATATAAACAACAACAATTGTAAAACAATTAAATAATTAAAAATCTAAAGTTAAATTCTCATAACATTAAGAAATGGAGATAGAACTATATTATTCTAACGCCACGATTTGATGGCACCATAACGAAAGAAATGGTATTAAAATCTGCATAAGCATTAATAGAGTTAGATTTTAAAGCATCTGATTGATGGTTTCATAATTAAAAAGAAAAGTCAGTTAAATTTTGTCAAACCTTGTTCAATTTAAATATAACCAGATACACATGTACCACCATTAAATTTTTCAATTGTGTGATTAAAATTCAATAATTCTGTTCCAATTTTTAGGAACGACATCAGCTTTAAAAAAATCTCAGCAAAGTGCAATTGTGACAAATGATGATATTGCTTCATACAATTAAACAACACTTCCAACTTGCTATTGAATTACAAACTTAAAAACATTTTTTAATGCCAATAAGTTTGAACTATTTTACCGGTGCTCACCAAACAGAACATTCCATTTACAACAAGAAAAATGTTTTGGGCAAAATAAATATAGACTAACAAGAACGGCAGCAGGGAGTAAAACGGGATAAAAATTACCTATGTTTCTTATTGGAAAATCTAAAATCTTACAATGTTTTAAACAAATCTAACAACTCTTCTTGCACATATAAGAATCAGCTAAAAAATTGGATGATCAGAGACCTTTTTACAGAATAGGTAAATAAGTTTGACACATCTTTTCATGGTTAGGACAGAAAAGTAGCACTAAAGTAAATGTTCTGTCCATCCACACATTGAAGGGATGAGCTAAACCAACCTAATACTTCTTACACTTAACACCACATCTGTCCGTAATAAGAAGTCTTAAAGCTTATTATTGTCACAAAATTGTGCGTTTGTGTATCAAATCTGTTGATAATTAGTATATGAGATAGTCGATAATCTTAGTATATGAGATAGTCGATAATCAAGCGATGAAAGATCTTGGAATGCTGTGTCATCAATTTTTTAATAAAGCTTGAATCTGGAAACAAACAAGCATATTGCAGAAGTTTATGATGATTATCCTTTTAAATCTTTAACAGTAAATTTTGACTGTTTGCGAGAGATAGATCCTAGTGCCGTCCAAGAAGACCTCTCAGCTAAATCTTATATTGGTTTAGATTGCGATGTAGTAACCACTGGTTTACATCTTATTGAAGCTAAAATCATTTCTCAGATTTTAGATCTTAAGTTTAAAAACGTCGAAGCCCCTCCGTGCCATTCTGATGTTCAATTAAATAATGATTGAGAATTTAATGAAGATAGAAAAGATAGATCTTTGAAGCAATGTCAGATGACAGTTTTATTTTCCGAAAACTGTAGCTTTTGTTTGCATTAAAAACAAGTTATTTGATTAAAAACAAGTTATTTTTGTGAGAAAAATAACTTTAAAAATAACGTTTTTAATCAAAGTCGCACAATTTTTCTTATTTTTATGCCTTTTCTTATTATCTCGAGTTTATTTCCCGGTCGCCTTATTGTTCGAGATAAGGGAGTTGACTGTATTGTTTAAAAGAAAAAAAAAATAATGTCAGCAAAATATTTTTATCTTAAATGCAATGTGACCTACTTGAGATTCATACGCTTGAACAAAAATGTCATTTTCCTCATTTGAAACTTCCACTAAACCTCCTATCAGTTCAGATTTATTTTGTGCACGCACAGTCAATAGATTACGTGAAGTTCTTTGGGGAGAAATAGGTGTACTGTTGTTATAATAAGGAGATTGAGGTGATTCATAATTACTATTTGATATAACTGGTCGAACACTTTGAAAACCAATTTGCTGCAGTGACGATGGAAGCGAATACATAAATTCTACCACATCTGCGGCTCTTTTTAATAAATCTTCCTAAATTGATATAGTTTTAAAAAAATTATCATCGCCAAAAAAAAATTTTAATAATAATAATAAAAAAAGATTACTTTAGTTAATTTAACAGGATCATTAGGATGTCTTGGTAGAAGTTTAGTTAGTCTTGAAAACCCATAGTCAAGAGAAGGTTCACCTAAAAGTATTTATGTTTTTTATGCAAACTTTAATTAATTATATTATTCAATATTTTACTAACGATAACAACTACAAAGTACAAAAAAATAATTAAACAATATACTTACAACTATAGAAAAAGTAAATTGGTGGACCATTGTATATTGGCTTTGAATTAACAGCAAGTACTACTTCAACAGTAGCCGGTATAGGATGAGAAGGAATCTGAACTCTTAATGCAGAAGTTGAAAACACCTAATAAAAAAGTATGTAAAAAATATTATATATAAATATAAAAGGTCGTTAAATTCGGAACGATGAAAAATTTAAAAAAATATAAAATAAGTAAACTATTACAAAAACTTCAACATTTATTTTAATCTAAGGAACTTGAAGATTACAAAAATGTTTTTTATTTCAATATTCTTTATGGATATCTTTTACGATATCAACTAATGGACCATGTCTTTAGCAATTTTTTTTTAACTTATGTCCACTCTCTAATCAAGTCTTTAGTTGCATCCTACTTGAACTTGTTGCTGACACGACCACGAACAATTTAAGTGTAAGGAGTCACATTTCACGTACGTTTCGTTATCCATAATTATGCAGCAATTAAATTATGTAAGCACTTTGTCATAAAGTCTTCGTGCTCGAGTCTTAGCAGTCAGTGATTGCTTATCTGATCGGTTTGGATATTTAACGATAAGACTTAAAATTCTAATATTTTTTTACTTTCCTGACAAAAAAATCTGAAATTTTATATTTTTTGGCTCGTTCTCTGTTCGATAAGCCGGAATTTTGCGTGAACGATTGTCGAATACTAATTGCTGCTTTTTTATCTTTAAAACCACCTTTTCTTCCAGATCAAAGTTTTGCTAAATTCAAATGCTTTAGCAATTGAAAGTTACGATGCATAAGGATTTTAAAAAATTTTCTTACTATTCTGATGACATTTTAAATAAGAAAAATATTTTGACTTCTTTGTTGATGTTTTTAATTAATACTATCATTACATAATGTAATAAAGTAAAAAAAAAAAAAAAACTATGTATATTTCCGTGCGATTATTAAAGATTTCCACCGAAATTAACTAATATCTCTGCAACGAAAATTTATTATTAAATAATAAAAACTTTTTAAAAACGCGAAAAAACTTTTTGGTTAATTTGCAACAGAGTTATAGAGCAAGGAAACGGTTGACAGAAGACTTGAAAAGTTGAAGGTTGTATAAGTCAGGAAAACATGAAGATGGGAGAGAGTTCTCAAGGATTGAAGTGCGGGGAAAAGAACTAGATGAATAAAAGATTTTAGGGTATGCAGGGACAGATACAGTAAACGAATGAGACTTAGCTGAATGACGAGTAAAATGAGAATGAATTTTAGTTGATGGAACTAGAGATGATAACTCCTTTAAGCAGTGACCATGATAGTATTTGTAGAAAAGAGAAAGAGATGCAACTTTACGACGATGGGAAAGAATCTCAAGCTTAGCAGATAGTCCAGGTCCAACAACATTTACAATGCGTTTTTGGACCTTGTCAAGAAGAGAAAGTGAATCGTTAGAAGAACCAGCCCAAATATGACAACAGTATTCCATACAGGGACGAATAAGAGATTTGTAGAGCTAATTTAGCAATCGATTGTATATATCGTTTCCATGAAAGGTCAGTAGTAAGCGATAATCAAAGAAGACGTAAAGAGGACGACTCAGTAAGAGGATTGCCATTCATTAATATAGGAATGTTGACCATATTACGGTAGTTGTTTGCAGTAAACAACTGGATTTTGTTAGAGTTGGAATTCACAAGCCACTGTGAACCCCAATCTATTACTGAAGTGAGATCGGAATTAAGATCAGCTGCTTGTTCTAGGCGATTGAAAAGAGAAGACTTTTTGTCAAGACAGGAGTATAAAGTTGAGTCATCAGCAAAAAGAGCTACTTTAAATGAAAGGTTGTCAGGAAGATCGTTTATGTAGATAAGAAACAGGTTCCAGGATGGAACCTTGGGGAACCCCAGAAGTTACTGGAAATAAAGAATAGTGTTGGCCTTCAAGGATGACTTTAATAAACCGGTTAGAAAGAAATGATTTGATAATCTCAAAAACTTTCCCAGAAACACCATATGAAGCAAGTTTATGGAGAAGACTAGCATGCCAAACTTTGTCGAAAGCTTTAGATATGTCGAGAGCAATAGCCCTAGCCTCACCACTTCCATCTAATGCACGATAAAATCTTTCAGTTACAGCAGTTAGCAAGTCGGCCGTAGAGCAAGAGGATCGAAAACCCTATTGATTGTCTGACAGTAGTTTATTTGACTCAAGATGAGATGTGAGGAATTTGTTGATCAAGTTTAGTTTAGTTTATTAATGATTTAGATCAGTTTAGTTTAGTTTATTAATGTTTACAATGTACAAAAATATAAAAAAGTATACAATTGGCTGGAGCAAGAAGAACGCTTCTGAATGTCCGTATAATATAAGCAACAACATTTAAAAAAAGTAATAAAATAATTAAAAAAAAAAGAAATAATTAAAATTATTGTTATTATTTATTATTATTATAGTTTATACTAAAGCTGGTAGAGTCACCAGCAAGTGTGAATTGTACTCTTTGACAGCCTTTGATTTTGATTTTTCTACAAAATTGTAGAAAAATCAAAATCAATTTTTCTATTAAATCAAGGGGGGGGGGGAGGGAAACAGTTAGTCATCCATTAGCCTTTATTGTAAAAACAGTATGAAATTTGTTGTTTAGTACATCAGCAGTTGAAATTGTTCATTAAAAATGAAATCTTATTTTTTTTTTACAGATTTTATAGAACTTTTTACAGCTCTTTGATTATTAAATAATATAGCATTTTTATTGGATATGTGAACAAGGTTTTTCATATTGTTTTTTATAAGGTTATTTCATATTGTTTTCTGGCTTTCGAAACTTCATAGTTAACTTGTTTGCAACATACTTTGTATAATAATTTTAATTTTTTGTCACTCCAGTTTAAAACATAATTTCTGTATCTTAAAATCATTTTGATTCTTATAAGGTTCTTTAAATCACAATTTATCCAAGGAGTTTTTCTTTTTCTTGAATTTAAATTTATTATAGGAATAAAGTTGTTACATGCTTTAGATAAATGTAACATAAGAGTATCGTTTATATTTCGAACGGAGTTTTATTTAAAGCAACTATTCTAACCAATTCCTTTAATGGCTTTTGATATAGAATCATAATCCCCTCTTCTGTTGTCAAAGATGTATTTTGGTTTTAATTTAATGTACAAAACGTGAACCTTGAAGATCAAGGCCGCTGCGCGGAAAAACAAGTTGAGCGCAGTACTACCAGGAACGTGGTGGAAATCGAATTCGGAACTTTTCGTTTATGAGGCGATGGCTCTGCTACTACACCACTACCGCATAGTATTATTTAATAAAGGAAAATTTCATGATAATTTTCAAATATGCTATTAAAGTGTAAAACGGTAGTGGTGTAATGGTAGAGGAAGTCAATAATTATTAACTTCCTCATCAAATATTTGAAAGGTAGGAACAGACATATGTTGTATGAGATATAAGTCACTAACTACATCATGAAATTTATGCTCTAAGGAATCATCATTACTTTCAATAAGTTGTTTGACGATTGTATATTTGGAAAATTAAAATCTTCCATTATTAACAAATTAATAAAGCCTTTCTCATTGATAAATGAAATTGTAAAGATTTGTTTCAAGTTATCGATATTTATAAATTCTTTTGGTCTATACATACAAACAACTAAATACTTTAATTTCTCTATTGCAACAACAACTCAGGCTTGTTCTAAATTACTTTTAAATAAATATATTTCATAAGAGTCATTATTTTTATCTATATATAAAGCTACACCACCACCTCTTTTTCCATTGTTTCAATCTCTTTTGTATAAACTAAATCCTTCTATTTCGGTGACTGATTGGTCGTTGAACCAGGTCTCTGTAATTCCAACAATGCTTAGATTTATAAGAGAACATACAAGTTTTAGTTCATCCACTTAATATTAAGAGCTGTAGTGTTTGTATATATACATTTAAAGTTGAGAGAACTTGTTTGCTAAAAGTTACTTTTTAAATCAAACTAATTAATTGCTACGAACTGCATATCGAAAGAGAGAAGTAGTTTCTAATTCATGATTAAAATGGTTGCTTTTTTCTTAATTTGAAATCGTTTAGTCTCTCTGCTGCCGTTAAATCAGGTGAAATGTAAACTTTTTCGTATGTGATTTTTTTTTCGCAATTTTTTAGCACAAAGCAATAGTGGATTGCGCTCTGATGTATCCTGTAGACTAATAAGTATTGGTCATGGTTTTAATGAATTACTTGAATTCAGCCTTTTAATAAAAACTGATTTAACTGTAGAACCAGTATCTTCTAAAATTAGGTTAACTTTATCTTTGTCCTCTGTATATTTTTTTTTCTAAATTTGATTTTTGAGACACCGGCAATCCAAATTTAACAACATTTTTAAACCTCATTATGTTCATTCATAGTAGCATTTATAACTCTCAGTTGTTCTATTGATGCTTTTTTTTTTTGACTTGACTGATGCCCGGTAATGAAGTTCTGGAACATCCTTAGATATATATTTTGTTGATTTCCAAATTTCAATTTTTATCTCGAACTTAAATTTTTTTATTGTTGTTGCGCTTCAATTTTTTGAGATTTTTTCAATTTCCGCCAAAAGTGTTGCTTTAACCGCCTCTTTTTGAACATTTGTCATATTTTTTTTATATATACCCAGATAGCACACTGACGTTGGGCCAACGTATGTAAATATAACAATAAAACGATATATAAACTTGGTATCTGAAAGAAGATCCAAATGATCTTGTCGCCAGAACCATATAAAAGATATAATACACTGCAGACGTCGGCTGTTTTTTCCGATGCAAATACAACGTTGATCAAATGTTAGAGTTATAATACTTATATTAATGAAAACCTGAAGATAATAGTTAGGAAAATGACATTGGTCCAACGTTTGTAAAAACGTCGCAAAACCTGGTTGTTTCTACTATCTAAACCAACGTAGATCAAATGTATAAAGAATAATGTTGATCCAAGGTATATGGATTAACGTTGACCAAATGTGTATAAACCCATATTTGTCCGATGTATATGGATTAGTGTTGATCTAATGTTTATAACCCAACGTTAATCTAATGTGTATGAATTAACGTTGAATTATACACATTGGATCAATGTTGCTCCATATACATTGGAATAACGTTGGATTAAATACAGTGGATCAATGGTGAGTTTGTATCTAGAAAAATAGACATACAAATATATATTTATATAATTTATAAGAACTATTTTTTATCTGAATATTTCAGTTGAATATGAAAATATATTTTGCTAATATATTTTTCTCTTTCTTATATAACAAAATATTAAACAACAAGTAAAACTAACAAGAATATTGCCTGTTTAATAAGATGCCTCTGTAGAAAATAATAATAAATTTAGGGAGTAATAAAAGTGTAAACAAACGTTGATTCATCAAAATGGATGAAATATTTATTTATAAGCAACTATATACAATTATATATGCGTATAAATATATGATATGTAATGTGCATATATGTAAACTAAAATATAAAATAAATAAATTTAATTCCAATAAAAGTTAAACATAACGTTCTGCAAAATATAACGTTGAATCAACTTAATATACAACGCTTCTCCAATGTAAAATATATACTTTCAAATCTCGCTCGTCTCGGACATCTCGGTCTCGGAAATCTCGGTCATTTTTCTATCTGGGTTCGGAATGCCGAGAAAATAAATGTAAAAAAATAAAAACCGAGATTACTGAAAATTATTAAAAACCTTCAAAATTTCATTTTTTAAGAGAAGAGTCAAAACATTTTTGAGTAAGCAAGAGTCCTCAGCATAAATTTTTTATGAACTATTTTTCACGTATTTCTCCGAAGGAAACAGCTGAAAAATAAAAAGCGCTAAATTTGAAGATTTTTTATACTTTTCAGTAATCTCAGTTTAAATGTTTTTAAAAATCGTACAAGTTGTTATTGCATTGCAATGTTTTCTCATTTATGATTCTGTTGATAATCAGATTTGTCGCATAAAAAGATGTAAAAATATATTAAATAAAAAGACTGCATTGAACTAAAAAGTGAGTGTTTATTAAATTTATTCATAAAAAAGTTATTTTAAATTATGACATTTGATATAGCAACTGCAACTTTAATGATTTTTAAAATTGAACAGATTCAAACTTTTAAATGGAAACAATTGCGAGCGGAACTTATTTGAAATGGCGAAACTACTGTCTAGTTTCGAAAAATGAAAAGTTTCACGTTGAATGCACATTGTGTCCTGACGGTGCGTAGAAAAAAATCAACAAACGAACAGACTACAATACAAAACAAATTCACGCTCATTTATGAAAGTTCCACCAATATCGCCGTGTTTCTTCTGCTGACAAATCCGAAAAATCAACGCATCATCAATCTCACTTAAAAATAATTGACTCGCTTTTTAATGCGAAACTAACATTGACCGAAAAAATTGTTGCTAAGCTAGCATCTAATATTGGACTTAGTTTTAACCCAATTGCGAATCCATTGGTGCAAAAGCTTGAAGCACAAAAGTTGAAGCTCCCAAAAACGTCAAGAAAGTTCGTCAGACAATTTATAGCTCAACAACGTATGCGAGGGACAAAGTGATGAAGGAAATAACGCTTATAAAATCCAATAGAGGATAGTTTTTCTATGTGAGTGATGAGGCAACATTTAAACAAATTAAAATTATGAACATCCATATTTTTGGCCCAACAATTACAATCAAAATCTTGGTTTAATCGAAATGGGAAAAGAATATGATGCTAAAACCCTTTTGAGGTTGAAAAATTATCAATTAATGACCTTCGGCATTGATCCTGACCGAGATTGCATTGGTTAAACTATAAATGGGGCAAGTATTTGCACTAAATCCAGCCGTCTCTCACAACGACTTCATCACATTTGCTATGATCATGGAATTCATCTTTGTGTGACACGAGTACTAAAACATAAAAAAATAATTACAGATATCAATCGAGCAAATAAGAATTTATTATCAGACCCAAGCAAAGAAGAATCAGATACAGAGAGTGACATTTTAGCATTATATCTCAAAGTTTTTGCATTGTTTCTAAACTAAGCACCAAACGTGCTTAGTTTAGAAACAAACGAAGAAGATGAAGACGCAAATAAAGCTGAAGCAAATTCTGATGTAGAAAACGTGGAAGATAAGGAAGCATTTGAGTACGATCTTGCATTGCCTAGTACTAAAATTCTAGAAGATGTTCGAACTATTGTAAAAAATTCAAATACAAACTTAAATTAGTAAAAGAGCTTTAAAAAAATGCTCAATCTCTTGGAATCAAATTCAAAATGTTAAAAAACTTTCAAAGACATGATCCCAGCTATAAAAAAAACTCTTAAATCATTTGAACATGATTGACCTGATTATTTAGAGAAAAGTATTCCTGAATTCGTAGCAACTCTTCAACCATGGAATATGGCTGTGGATGCCATGAGTCGCGATGATGCTGACTTGAACATTGCAGAAGGCGCATTAGAATTTTTGTTAGAAGAATTACGAACGAAGAAAAATTTTATTTGTGCTCGTTTGATTGAAAAAATTGAAATAGAGATTCTTAAAAGACGTCAGATCTTAACTGTTAGTCTCCTCAAATTTCTCAACAATCCAGGTGTTCTTGAGGAGTCGAAAGTGTCCCCATTCTTACTCTCATCAAATAAAGAAATTATTGAAGAAGCGAAAAGACTCTGGCTTAAACATTTTTTCACTCCATGCAGTAATAATGACAGTGATGATGTTGTGGAAATTGCATCTGAAGCTCATCAGACAGTCGAACAGACTCCCAATGATCCTAAGTTACGTCTTCTTGCTTCCTTAAAACGTTGAACAACTTCAAACTTTGTTCCAAAGCTCTAAGACCCACCTAGAAGGAAAAGAGAATCAAATGCCCGACAATAAATCCAAGTCACTGATTCTAATGATTTGACTGCTGATGAACTTACCAGGTACGTTATGACTGGATTCAAATCAGAAAAGTTATGCATGTTATAAATGCGTTGAAATTAATCAAGCCAACATCAATTGGATGTTAACAAAATTTTCCAATTTCAAGCAATCACCCTAATAAGAAACGGGAGAAAATGGTAGCTGCAACTTTGAATGACTTAAGACTTTTGAAAAGTTATTTCAAGAGTCAACATTAATTTGATAAATGTAGAAAACTTATGGTTCATTAATATAATAATAATAAAAAATTACAAAACATAAATTTTTCGAAAAATTTCAGTTTATTTCCATAGTTTTTACATTTTTGAAAAAATCTCGGTAATATCTCGGTTTCGTACCAGATCTCATCTTAGAAAAATATTGTCTCGTATGAACTGAGAGCCGAGACGGAAAAAAATCTGAGATTCTGAAAGAATACGTAAAATACAATATAAAACAATGTCAAATCACAATAAAATATTACGCAATGCCGACTTAAAATACAACGTTGTGTCAACGTTTTTTTTTGTTGTTGGTGTCGTCGCATTTGTAACCAAAATGATATAAAACAACGTTGGCCGTCAATGTTGGGCCAACGCAACGCGCAACATTGTTCTAACGTTTTATCAACGTATGTGTGTTAGCTGGGTAGTAATAAGTAGTACAAAAATAAAGTAATAAAAATAACAAAGTATTCCGTTTTAGGTTTTAAATAGAACGTAATTCAAAACTAAAATAAATAAAATTTCTGTTGCAGTATTATAAAATATATTGAAATAAATAAAAGATAATTTACCCGTAAATATAAGATAATTTACAAAAGAATCTGCGTGTTCAATTTAAATGGCTATAAAACAATTAAAATTTTGTAGGTAACCTCAAAAGTAAATATTTTAATTTTAATAAAAGTCTGATAAAGACATTGAAATTCTTAACATTATTTAATTTTATTCTTTTTGTTAAACAATCTAAGTTTTAAATTTACTTACGTTACACAAATTCAAAATTAAAATATGCTTTAACTAAGTATCTTTATTCAAAGCCTTAAATAAAAAAACATAAGATTTAATATCAATACACATACCCATTTGACAAATAATAAATTTAAGATGCCAGCTTCATTTCGAGAGTACAATAATTTAGATTATGCATTTTTTTAATCAAATGACATTAATAAGTACGATGACTTTCGTAACCATCAAAAAAACTTTAAGTAACTTTATTATTAAAAATATATATTGTTGATAAACTTTCATGTGTCTACTCAAGTTTAAACTAAAGTTTTACTAATTTGTTAAAAATTTACAAAAAAGTAAACAGTTACTAAGTGAAACAAAAATGCAGATAAACACGCGGATGCATCAACATTGGAAGAGCATTGACGAAAATAAACCTTATCAAACTGCATTAGCGTTTCATAAAACCTTATGCAAAAAAATATTATTTGGGAAAAAACAAAAATATTGAAGGTAGAAATTACAAAGTTCCAAAGAAAAATTAGAAAGGCACTAGAAATACAAAAAAAAAATGTGGTCTGTGCGAAACGGCGGGATTAATCTTAATAAATGCCAATATGTCAAAACTAGGTTTTAAACGCCATTCAACCTCTGATGTCAATAGTAACAGTTTTATATAAACTGTAACTACTAAAAATTATTTTAATATTTATTAAGCTGATGATGTTGGTATCTATAACAGAGCGAAAATTTCTAAAATAATAAAATTATTTGTATTGAAAGAAACTGTATTTCTTGATGTTTTAAAATATAATACAATATACTCTCATACTAGATGTCATCTTTCAAATATATATATATGTAAGTATGTATGTATGTATGTATCTATAAGTATATATATATATATATATATATATATATATATATATATATATATATATATATATATATATATATATATATATATATATATATATATATATATATATATATATATATATATACAAACATATATGTATATATATATATACATATATATACAAACATACATGTATATATACATATTTATATACATACATATATACATCAATCATTTATATAAATACCTCAATACTCCAACCAAAAAAACTTCCAAATATTACTTGAATCCCTTCAAAAAAATTTTCTCCTAAAATAACAACATGCGTGCCACCGCTTGTCCAACCTTCATTGGGAATTATAGCTTTGATTGCTGGAGCTGAATCTACTGTGTTATCAATTTTTTTTACTAGGGATCTACGACCATGCTTAGAGTTGTTGTGGACAAACATATTTGTTGAAATTCCTATTGCATCATTTGTTTCGGGGTGTGTAACGATTGCTATCTGTTGCAAAGAAAATTTAAAATTTTTAAAAGGAAATACAGTTTGTTTAGTCTATAAACATATTATTATTATTATTATTATTATCATAGTTGTAGCCGTAAAATATATATACAGCCAGCTGGAAAAGCACCCTACTATAAACAACCAATTTTGTAAATATTCGTTTCGAATTTTATCCTAAACCAGTGAGCTAGTCTAATTTTAAAAGAAATTACAGTTGAGTAAAAAGTTACTTGTTCTAGTAGTTTGTTCTAGTATTTTGCTGATCTATTATATAGTTGGTTGTGTCTTGAAAGACAGTTTGGAACATATTCACGTCTTATTTTAAGAAGGTGACCACGTGACAAAGACTTGAAGATTTTTGGCTGATTTATATTATTAGTTGTATCAAATCGATGTGTTAGTTTAAAATTTTGGATAAGATCGCATCGTAAACTCAAAAGATGGTAGAAAGTATTTTTAGTCTTTCCTAGTATTGAAAATTTTTCAAGCTTAAAGCCCATTTTCTTGATTAACTTTGAACAGACTCAACCAAAGATACATCAGTTATTTAATATATTTATATAATTTTTTCATCAATGATGGTAAATATAAACAACCATTTAGAAGCACAAAGTTTTATTACATTAATATATATTGTATATATTCATGTATATAATATATATGGATTCAGGTTTTATCACATTCATATATTTATATATATTATTCACAATGTTTTATTACATTCATATAATGATTCAAAAAAAAAACGTTTTTTAAAAATGTCTGCTGGCACCCCCTAAATGTGTTCTCTATATAATAAAATAATACTAGATTTAAAAAATTCTTAAATAAAAAACACTTTAAGAGGTTGCTACCGACCCTTAAACATTAAATAAATTCCTCATACTATAAGAAATTTCTTTTTTTAAAGTCATGCACAAAGAAATCAAATAAAAATTTCAAAAATAATCATTTTTTTATGAAAAAAACATCAAAAACAAAAATTATAATCTAAAAATCTTGTTAAATTCACTTTTCGTTTTTAGTTAAAAAAAAAGTCATTTTCTTTTCACTAAAATCTAAAATAATAATTTAAATTGGTTGCAGATATGCTAATATAGTATATCTTAGGATATACATGCACTTTTTTTTAATGTAATATTTATATTCTTGCTTACAATACAGAATACAAAAATAAAAAAAACTAATGTTTTCAAAACATTGGCCGATGGTTACCGAGACCGATGCCAATGCATCGGCAGGCCGATGGCGATGTCTCGGTAGGCCGATGCCTATGTATCGGTGTATCCCTAATATATATATATATATATATATATATATATATATATATATATATATATATATATATATATATATATATATATATATATATATATATATATATATATATATATATATATATATATATATATATATATATATATATATATATTACGTTATTATATACCTGAAACCTTCGTATATCTCTTGGATTTCCTGCAGTCTTTAAACAATTTTGATTACATTTCATAAAGAACTTCACAAAATACTTATCAACTATAACACAATCTGAAGGCGTCTCGTTTCTGTTTCCACATGATTTTCTTTCACAACAGCGGCTATAATATATTTAAATGAACCTAAATATTGTCAAAAAAAGTAATATTTTGGACCAACGATAAATTTTTTAATTGTGATAATTTAGGAAACGTCCATTATTTATGTTAACAAAATATTGGAGGAAAGTGAGAAAATTGTTAACATGGAAAAAAAGTAAGTTCATGAATTATTTCAAAAAACAACCTTTTAAGTTTTTGCTTTTTTGAATAAATAATTTAATATTATTGGTTGAGTTTTTGGTTGATATCCAAGTATACAATATATATGGAGCAAAATAAAAATATTTTAATCAAAATAAAACAAATTATTAAAACATAAATGCACTAGAATTTTTAATTTTTAATCACAACGTCCAAGTGGATTCTAGTTGAGTTGTGTAGAAATATAGAATAGTTAATTTATTCAAGGGCTAAAATGCATGGGTAGGCCACCCACTTTTTATTTTGCTCTATATTTACTTTATACTTATATATCTAAACCTATAAATAAAGTATATTCAATTTCCTCTACCTATGTTGCATCTTCCGGCATTTTAGTTTTACAAACACGCGTTTGAAATGTCATATTACAAAGTCGTATATGCAACAAAATTATCATATATTACAAAAATGCGAATTGTTGCATATTTATGGCTAACAAATTTATCTCTTATTGGCTTATTGCATATCTTATATGCATTAAAACTACTGAACTAAAAGATTACGCAACATTTTTATGGAGAGTAACAATTTAATAATTTTTTTAAAAATTTAAAAGGATTTAAAGCATAGCCACAAAAATGTTAACTCAACAAAAAACTAAACTTTTTAAATTTTTAAACAAAAAAAGTTCAGTACTTCTATTTTAAGAAAACAAAACAAAAAATAAAAACAAAAAAAAAAAACAAGAGTTTTTTTGAAAGATAATTATTAAAAATTATCAAAACATAAAAAAATGTCGAAACAAAAAATCAACCCCGAATGAATTTTCCGCATTTACTCAGAAAATAGTGGATCATCGTCTAGAACTATTTCTAAACTAGCCAAACTGTTTCTCAACTGTCCCTTGGGTTTTCAAACGTTACAAGGAATTTTTATCCATCAATTGCAAATCAGGATCTGGAAGAAAAAAGGGGTTTGGAAAAAAAAGTTGGCCACGGAAATTTGTTGTTCATATTTATTAACTACGCCAAAGCAACAATGACTTGGCATTGAGAAAATGGCGTTGGAATCATTTCTAAAGATCACAACCCACTAAATTGTCTTATAGTAAATCAAAGAAAATAAAATATTAAAAATGTTTGGGCTATTTATAAGTTTAAGTTAAATAAGACACAAGGCAAACTCAAAACAGATCCCGAGTTGTTCAAAAAGTACTTATGATAAAGCTTTGTTAAAAATTTAATGAGAGTTGTTAAACCAAAAATTCGCAGTCTTGCTCGAGGAAAGGAGATTTAAAATATGTTTAAATATAGGTAAAGGAATACTCCATTTGTAAAAATAACTTTAATAAACATATGTTTATTAAAACTTGATGTAAAAATCATTAAATTTATTTGAGAAAACTAATTAAATTTTATCAATTTTTAAAAAACCACAAAAACGCAAATTAATAGACAAGAAATTTATTATATCACACACAGAAAAATATTGCGCTCACCTACACATCACCTCATGAGTAAGAAGTACACGACACATCTCCGGATTTTTATCTTGTCCTTCATAACGTATAACCTGTGCAGAAAAGAGTAAATTAGTTCCAATGATAAGAAAATGGAATTCTTCATTAATTTTGTTAATGTTAAAAAACTATATCTCTTAAAATATTTTATATGTTATATCAGAGCAGTGGCTAGGCTTCCCCACACACCACGATTGGGAGGAGGGGGTGAGTGAATTTAAGGGATGCATTTTGCAAATTTATGGGCCCATTTGCAAACGTAAGGAGCTTTTTCTTCTAATTGTTTTAGTTATACTTAAGAGAAAAAATTTTAAGATTTTGGGGCCCTTACGATAGGTTTAAGGAAGGCCTTGGAATTGAAAAATACAAACAACTTCGAAAATGTTTATTAAAGTATAAACTTATTGTAATTTTTTCTTAAAAATTACTTATTTGACCTTTTCATGAAACCTTGAGGAATGAGAAGCGGGGAACCAGATGGTTCTTCCTCTTAAATAATTTTGAGGACTTGTTTATTTTATTATAGCTATGAGTTTTTTAAATTCTAGATTATTTTAGATTAAGTTTCAATAAAGTATCCGTAATTTTAAGCAATATTTTGGAGTTAGAATTAAGTCCCCTCCCCCCGTAAAAAAAGTCTAATGAGCGCCTTTAGGCCGGGTGAATAAAAACAAGCAATTGCATTTTACTCAGTCATTGGTCAGTTTTACGTGAAGTAAAACTTTACCTATTTTTTTTTTTTTAGTTTTTATTCACGCAAAGCTGAACAAATACTAAGTAAATTGCTTAAATTTACGTGAATAAAAACTAGACGAAAACAGCTAACGTTTTTATTGACGTAAAGCTGACCTATTACCGAGAAAAAGTAATTGCTCATTTTTATTCACCCGGCCTTATGCTACAAAGTTATATTTTTTTACTACTAGTCCAAGTTATGCGGGATTTTGAACATACATACTTTACTATATGGACTTTTTGAAAATAATAACTTTGTGCATGTATTAAAAAAATAGTTTTAACCACCCTTTTGTATGCAACCGTTCCACTGCGCAATCGAGCCGCATCATATAGGATGAGAGATTGACGGGGAAAGGGGGGGGTTAGTACCCTTTTAAGTTTACGCATAACCTTACTGTTTTCAGTTGAGTTGTAAAAGCGTGGTTTTGTAATAATTTGGATTTTGATTTTAAATAGAAGTTAAAATTTTTTCAAGCTAAATCAACCATTCTGTCTTCATCACATCAAAATTACATGCTATCATTCATCATGAACTACATTTTAATAAAAAGAAGAAAATTGATCGTTGTCTCTTTCAACTTGAAATGAAGCAGTTTCAAAAATTTAATAATTTTATTTCAAAATTAAATAAAAATTTTTGTGTAAACTTTTCGAAAAAAACCGCACAACATCTGGATTTCACAACAAGCTTCAGGTAATGTCTTTTTATAAAGAGTTATGTACAAAAAGACCGAAAAACATCTGGATTTCACAACAAGCTTCAGGTAATGTCTTTTTATAAAGTGTTATGTACAACAAACTTCAGGTAATGTCTTTTTATAAAGTGTTATGTACAAAACTTCTATTTTAAATTCCATAAAAGTTTTTTTTTTTCCATATATTTTTTACAACTACATACCTTTAACAATACATACTTTTATTACAAATAGTTTTAACAATATATATATATATATACTTTTATTACAAATACAGTCAAAATGCTTTGAAAATAACTGAAATAATACTAAGATATATTTGATGAACAAAGTAATAAAATAATGTAAAATAGTTTTTCAGTTTATATTTTGAAAAGACAAAAAAAGTCTTAAACTTTTAGTTATGTAGTCAAGGGAAACTCGCAGAAAACTGTGTAAAGTCTTGTCATCGAGAACCCTTTTTTTAAACACTTTCATGAGATACTCATAAATATTTTATTCATTACTTATTACTTTTTTCTATATAATTAGTCGTGTTTTTAGGAAGGAGCATAACATAAGCTAGTATGTATATATGTATATTCATACTTTTTTTTTTTTTTTTTTTTTTTTTTTTACATGATTTTGATATTTTAATTACTCATAAGTTATTAGAAAATTTCCATATAACTGCTTGTATTTAAGACAAGTTTTTTAAGATAAGATTTTAAGGAATTTATATTTTTCAGGAGAGATATTGAGGAATTTTTTGGTATTAATTTGTTATACAAGTAAGGACCACGATATGCTATTGAGAATTGAGACAGTTATCTTTTTTTAAGGGGTACTATATAGTTTCCAGTTGCTCTAGTGCTAAATTTGTTTATATTAGTTTTAAAAAAGTTATTCATAAATCGACTTGGAATAATTCCCATTTTATGTTTGAACATAAACAAAATATTTTGATATATATTAACTTGGTAAATGTTTAAAGCATTCATCTGTTTTAGTAATGGGTTTGCGTGAGTAAGTTTGTTTTTATAAAAAATAATTCTTGAGGCGAGTTTCTGTCGTCTATAGAGTGAACTTAATTTAGTTTTATGGGTACTTGCCCATGCTATATTGGCATATGATAGATAGCTGTGTATAAAGGAAAAATAAAGAAGTTTTAAATTTTCGAACGATAAATAATTTCTTGCTTTATAGAGTAGACCAATGTTTTTTGAGACTTTTGTATTAATGGTATTTATGTGAGAGTTCCAAGATAATTTCTCGTCAAGAAGCACACCAAGAAATTTAGATGATTGAGTTCGTTCAATAATTGTGTTGTCTATACTAAGAGTTGGTAAAATTGATGGGATAGCCTTTTTTTTTTTGGTTGGGGTAAAATAAGATGTATTTAGTTTTGTTTAAGTTTAATGACAATTTTTTAGCTCTGAACCATGTGTTAAGTTTAATAAGTTCTAAGTTTGCGGTTATAAAGAGGTAACTGATTGAGCTAGAAGAATAAAACAAATTAGTGTCGTCTGCAAAAATTATGCAATCTAACTTAGATGAGACTTTAGGGAGGTCGTTGACATAAATTAAAAATAGAAGAGGAGCTAGAATAGATGCTTGAGGAACCCCACATTTGATTTTTAGTTGTTTCGAGTTGTTATAGTGATCTATGGTAACACATTGTTGTCTGTTGTCTAGGTAGTTGGCGAACCATTTTATAGTTTGATTTTTTATGCCATATTTTTCCATTATTCTTAGTAGTATTGTGTGGTCTACTGTGTCAAACGCCTTTGTAAGATCAATAAAGACTCCTAATACAAATTTTCTATTATTAAAGGAAGTTGTAATGTTATTAATGAGATCTAGGATAGCATGTTCTGTTGAATGTTGCGTTTGAAACACGTATTGATTTTCACTTAAGATTTTGTGTTCTATTAAATATTTATACAGTCTGTTGTAAATTATTCTTTCAAGGAGTTTAGAAAATATAGGAAGAATTGAGATTGGTCTATAATTGCTAATTGCAGATGTATCTCCACCTTTAAATATAGGTACAATTTTTGCTATTTTTAATTTGTCTGGGACAATTCCGTTTTTGATTGAAGAGGTGAAGATATTAAAAATAGGCTTTCTTATTACAGAAAAAATATAAAGCACAACATTGCCAGAGATGTCATCAATACCTGGGGCCTTATTCTTTTTTTAATTGATTTGATTGCTGTTTCTAGTTCATCAAAAGTTAAATTACTATCTGGCAATGAGCTTTCAAAATCGCTAAAATAATTTTGAAACGAAGTTTCTGAGCCTTTGATTTTTGATGCCAGGTTTAGACCAGTGTTTACAAAAAAATGATTAAATATTTCTGATATATCTTCTTTGTTTTTGTATGCAATATCGTTTTCCGTTATTCTGGAGGGTAAAATGTCAGATACTAATTTTTTTTTACCAATGATTTATTTCATATCTTCCCACGTTTTCTTTATGTTACCATTATTATTTTTTAATTGTTGAGAATAAAATCTTTTTTTAGATTTATTTTTTATTTTTTCAAACAGATTTTTATATTTTTTATAGGCATTAAGATTAGCTTCGTTTCTGTTTTTTAAATATTTGATGCATAATTTTTGCTTTTTTTTTGAAGATTTTCTCACTCCGCGTGTAATCCAAGGACATTTTAAATATTTTGTTTTGACTTCTATTTCTTGTATTGGAAAATGTTTGTTATAATATTCAAGAAAGATGTCGAGAAATAGATTATAAGCGGAATTTGTGTGTCCAAGGTTACATTCTTGGTATACATTTATCCAATTTATTGTTGATAAAGATTCTTTAAATTTAAGCATAGAATGTTCATTCATTTTTCGTTTCAAGACTGATTTTAGAATTATCATTTATGGTTGCATGTTCAGCAAAAGAAAAGAAAATAGGAAAATGATCCGAAATATCAGTTTTAATTATTAATGTTTTAATAGACTTATCTAGAAAAGAGTTAGTTAGAATATTATCTATAGCACTAATGAAAGTTGTTGTAACACGAGTTGGTTTGTTAATGATTAGGATTATGCCGTGTTGAATAAGAGATCGAGAGGTCTTTTCTAATTTTGATATCGTGGTCATTACGAATGTAAACTAAAATTCCGCCTCCCCTTTTGAGCGTTTTTCTCTCAGATGAAATTATTTTATAATTAGGAATCTGAAAATTTGAATTTTTTTGAGCTGACTCATCATCACACCATGATTCTGTGAGACAAATCATGTTAAATAAAAAATTGGATTCTAAAAGAAAGTATTTTAGTTTGTCTATATTTAAACTTAAACTTCTAATATTGATGTGTATCACCGTGAAATTTTTTATATATGTTTTTAATAGCGTTTTAAAAGTTTCAGTGTCATAGTATTGCAAATTAAAATCTAATTTTTTAAAAACCTGTTTATCTGTGTCATAAAAGTTGTTAAGTAAAATGTTGTTATCAGTTTCAAAAAAATTTAATTGTTTGGTTTCAAAGTCAATTGTTTTGTAAGCCATTGCGCATGATTAAGAGTTTATTTTTATAAAATTGAGGTTAAGCATTTAACTTATTTCCAAAACTCTCGTAAAAAAATTTTATCATATTTGATAATTGCAAATTTACCTTCTTTTCGGT